CCCCAAAACCCCAAAACCCCAAAACCCCTTAACAATATATTTGAAAAATCATGCTCACAAAAAATAATTAAATTTGAATTTGAAATAAATAAGTAAATATGTTGCATGAACTACTTCTTGCTCTCTTTGGTCATACTGGAAGTATAATCATAGAGGATCAGAATTCTTTCACTGTTAACCCTAGTCTTGATTTCTTATCTGCAGCTGAGATTGAAATGATTAATAGGATAGCTCAAATAGGCTACTTATTCAAATAAGTCTAAATATTTTAACAGAGATATGGCGGAATATCTACAAAACTAGCGATAAGACTAGCATATGATGACTTAAACTAGCATATGAATCAAAACTAGAGAGGAGAACATGACTAATCAAACAACAGTGATGATGAAGATTAAAAAGATGATGAGATTATAGGAGTATACATTAAAGCATTTTGTAGTGGAGTAAATGATATATTAACAACATACAAACAACATCTATTAGCAATTGAGCATGAATATTTGAAAGATAGATCACTTACAATTCCATGTCTTTAACAAAAGCTTGCAATTTATTTGCAAATTTTTCCAGCTATTATTTCTCTAATGGAGGATATAGAGGACTAAGGATTGAAAGGAGGTCAATTATTAGATGCTATTTACCACAAATGTACAACTGGTAACCCAGTTATAAAGAGTATGTTCAATAAGATTTTGTATTGTTGCCATCGTGTTTTATTCCATCAAATTAATGCTTGGATTGTACATGGTTAGCTTGTTGATTTATGTGAGGAATTTTTTATCCACAAGATAAATACTTAGGCTCATGGAGTTAACTAAAAAAAAGAAGAGGCTGAGGAATCAAAACTGAACTAGACTGTAAACTCAATAATGAGCATTTAAAACTTAAATTTGGTAGGATCCATATTAACAATGGATCCAGAGGGTTTTGGAGCTGATGATGACACTAAAGATGATGAATGGAATTCTGTATATACTCTAAGAATTTCAATGTTGCCTTGTTCTTATTTCCCTCCATCACTAGCAGAGAAAATTCTATTCATCGGCAAAGCAGTGAGAGTTCTTTAATCTAAGAGAACTTAAGTTAGCGATAGGATACCAATTAGTGATTTGGAAGCATTTTCGCAAGCTATTATGAAACTTTAGAAAATGCCTGAAATAAATGTTTTACTAATCTCAAGAATTATTGAGGAAATAAGAGAAAGTATTGCAAGTAGATTACTTCATTTGGTAGTTATTAAAGCAAATCTAATTGATCACTTAAGTGAGATAAAGAATTACTTCCTTATTTCTAAAGGTGAGTTTTATCAAACCTTTCTAGAAGAGGCAAGATAAATTATGGCTCTTCATCCCTAGTCAACATCAGAGTTTGAATTAAATAGCGGTCCACTTCAATAAACAATAATCAAGCTAGGATTAGAAGAAGATCCATATTTAAAGAGATTCAAGATTAAATTAAGATCATTCTAGTTTAATTTCCCAAATTTTAGCAGATTAAGTGGGCTTTTCTATATTGGTGATGTATATATAGACAACAAAAGGAATCACGCATTTAGAATCAGATCTACAAAAACTTCACGAAAAAGTGGAGCTCTTTGGCACTGTATCAAGCAAAGAATTGATATGGGTTTTAAAACAACATTCGCATTTAAATTCAGAAATATGATAGCAAATGAAAAAGGGAACATGGGACTCAATGCCAGTGTGATAAGTGGATCAATTATGGGTTCTCCAGGAAAAGCAAGCACAAGAAACTATCTAAGCCAAGAGCAACATTTTTCAATACCTCAAGGAAGAGTAATTACAATTATTTTGATATATAATTAGAACTTTGGAGGAGGACAGCGTTTTGATTAAACAATTAATAGTATTGCTGGAGATGAGTAAATGCTTGGAACTAATTTGAATCAGAATATTGGAGGAGGCTAAAGTCTATCTGCAGCTCTATGCTTCATTATTTAGAATGAGAAGGAGGTGACAAGTTAGAAAAGATCAACTCCAATGGGAACTTCAGATTTGAATTCATACATAAGCATCAAATTTCTTACGAATATCCAAGCTTTTGGCGGATAGTTAAATCATCATGGAAGAGTAAGTACAAAAACTATTAATTAAATTATAGACTAGCTTGTTGAGATAGCAATATCAGACATAAAATTTAATTTAAATATGGGCTTCTAGTGAAACCAGTATAGGCAAAATTAAAGCTATGATTGAAGATTCTGGTTAAGGAGTTTAAAGCAAAACTGAAGTATTGCTAGCTGAAAAGGATATCTCAAATGATATAGACTTCATTGATGCAGATTCTCATTAAATTTAAATAGAATACTCAAATGAAGAGCTAAGAGTTTTTGTGGTTGATGGCTAATTATCAATACATCAAGATTCATAGAAAATTCTAATTCTCTCAACATAAATCAAACTCAATGACTATATCAGACTAGATAATGGAACTGCGTATCTTGGTTTTACTCATGAAACTTTAAACATGGTGAATTTAGTTTCATTGGAGAATTGGTCATTTATCTCAGAAGCAAGAAGCAATTAACAAGATCCATGGAATGGATTATCACTCGATTATAGATCGCATTGGCCATTACATTTGATGTTTAGTCCTGATGTCATTGAAAAATACAACACTCTATTCAGATTCCTTTTACCTATAAAGAGAGTTTAACTTGATCTATAGCATGTTTGGTCAACCAAAGTAAGATAAATGAAGTAGTACTCACATTAGCCATAATTCAGATAAACTATGCTTTTAAGACAACATATGAGCTTCTTAATGGACAACCTTTTCTAATATCTATAAGTTGATGTTCTTGAAAGTCAATGGAGCAAACTTGTGAAAGGTATAAATGAATCCTAAGACTTTGAAGAAGTTAGGATGCTTCATGACAAATATCTAAGTTCACTACTAGAGCAGTGTTTTCTCAACAATAACAATCAGGTTTTGAAGCTGCTTCAGGATGTAATCCATATGTGCCACCTGCTTTGCAAGTTTTTCAGACAAATTGATGATCAAAAGCCCAGTGAAATCGAAGAAGAGTTCAACTAAATCAAGTATAACTTCGTCATTTAGAGTAACAAGGTCTTCAAGCTTCTTTCAAACTTCAAGAATTATCATCAAAGTTCTCCATACTTAGCACAACTTTTGCTGAGACTGGATTACAATAATTATTTGAGTTACTAGTCTGAAAGAATTGAAAATGAAAGAAATAGAATGCTTGAAGCTAACTTTAACATAGCTGCTAAATATAGAATTTGATAAAATTGATAAATGGTAAATTTAATTTCATAATTCTCAATCTAAATTAAAATTCAAAGCCCCAAGAGTATAGATTAAGAGTTGATGTTTTTATTAATATAATTT